GGCTCGCGGGGAGCCCGCGCCACCACCGCCCTCCATGGAAGGGGGACGGGAGCCGGGGAGCAGCCACTGGCCCCAGGGTGGAAGATACAGGGCCGAAGCCCCCAGCTGAGCATGGAGCTGAACAGTGAGTGCGTGGCTAAAAGGGGGGACGGGAGCCAGCAGGAAGGGGCATTGCATTGGCAGTGGACACCATGGCCGCACAGCCAGAGCATCCCTTGCATAGGCACCCCAAGAAATGAGCCCCACATGTAGGCAGCAAACCCCAAGGGTGGCTCTGGTTTGGTTGGACCTGATCATTACTGGTGCAATAGGGCAGCCAAGCATCTTTCCATGCCCGGCCTTGGGAAATGGGATGTGGGCTTTTGGGGACAGCTGTAGTGCCAAGACAGGCGGCGAGGCAAGTGAATGCACAGAGGGGCTTTGGAGAGGAGATACCTGTCACCAGGATGGGCAGTCACTGGGCACAGCAGCCGCCTGGCTAAGAGGTGCCCGGGGCAGCAGCGTGCCGGCAGGCGAGCCCTTGGCCGGCGCAGCGGCGAGGAGCAGACGTACGCTGCAGGATGCTGCAGGCAGGGATTCCCCGAAGCGCACGTGACGCCCGGAGCTGCTCCTGGCACAGATCGGGAGGGCTGGCCTTGGTCTGCACAGGGAGCAGTTCTTCTCCCCACCTGCAGCCCAGACTAGAGCAAAGCCAAAAACCCTGGCACAGCCATGGCTGTGCACCCCTCGGCACATGCCACCAGCACAGAAACCCTTGCTCTCCCCAGCAAGCACTGGGCACCTGCACCGACTGACCAGAGGGCAGCACCACACTCTCCTCAGCCCCCCTAGACCTCCCCCTGTGCCCCCACCATGGGGCCATCAACGCCACCGCTGGGCTGGGCGAGGGGCTGCCACTGCAGGTGTGACCCTGGGCTGGAGCTGCCCAGGGAGGGTGGCACAGTGCCCAAGGTAACCCCATCTCCCCCAGGACTGCTCCTCCTCACATCCTTCCTCCTGCACATAGAAGAGGGCCACACCAGCCCAACACGGCTGGTCTGCGACAACAGACTTATCCAGAAGTACATCGGGGAGGCCAAAGACATGGAGAAGAGAGCGGTGAGTATATATTTCCCCCCTCCCCCCCCCCAACACAGCGCCAGGGACGAGCACAGCTCCTGGTATCTCACCTCAGCACCTCCTCTCCCTCGCAGAGCCAGTGCCAGGCACTGCCCGCACTCAGCTGCCCCGTGGTGCTGCCCTTGGTGGGCTTCAGGCTCCAGCAGTGGAAATCCAAATCGGTGAGTGGGGCTGGGAAGACAGTGCTGCCACCGGGGTGCCCACAGGGCTGGAGGAGGAGCCCCTGGGTTGGCACAGGCACCAGAAATGCTGAACAAGATGCCTGTGGGCATACCTAGTGGCACAGGGGGGGTGAAGGATCCCATCCAGACCCATGGTGGGCAGAGGAATAAATTGGGCCTGGGGGACAGCCTGCTCACTGCCTGCTCCCCTAGAACGAGACCAAGCGGCGGGAGATCCTCTGCGACCTGGCACTGCTGGTGGGTGCCATGGCAGGGGCACAGCGCCAGGTGACCCAGGAGTGCGGGGCCATGCAGCTCAGCCAGGTGTACCAGCATGCGAGCTCCTTCCTCCTGCTCCTGCAGACCTTCAGCTGGGAGGTGAGACCTCCCCACACAAGTCACACCACCCTGGTGCAGGTGCTGGCTGCACTGGCCTGGGCACAATGGCATTTGTCACCCCTCTGGTCCCACTCTCGCCCCTCAGGCAGGACCCTGGGAGCCAGGCTGCTCCCTACGCTCCATGGAGCAGATCCACATCACCAGCATCTTCCTCACCTACCGGCAGCTGGTGCAGGGCAAGCTGCGCTTCTTCTTCCATGACCTGGCCAAGGACTTATGCAACCAAAGCCAGGAGGGCGGCAGAAACCCTGTGTAGGGTCTGGTGAGGCTGCGCACAGGGTTCACCCCCATTCCTAGGTCAGGGCAATCCTGCTGGACACTGAGCTGTGCTCTGGGTGCCCAGGAAGGTGCCCACAGGGAAAGGGTTCGCTCCTGTTCCTGTTCGAGCCTTCAGTGACCGCACGGCCCACGGAGGCAGACAGCAGCAACACCCGTGCACCAGGGAGCACAGGCCCTGTTCCCACCGAGGCAAGCACCTCTACTGTGAATGCTTTAGAATTAAAGAGCTATTTTTCTAAAGGGTTGTTTGTGTCCTCCATTTCCCCACCACTGCGGCCCTGGCAAGGGGACCGTGCACCCCCAGGGGCCTCACAGTAAGATGCAGCCCCTCGGGGATGTGCTCCGGGTCTCTCCCCTGCGCCCAGCTCCCTCCCGCGGCAGCCATCAGCTCCGCAGTGCAGGCAGGCTCTGTCGGGTACCAGAGCCCACTTGGGGACGAGAGCTACCGCTCCTCACCCTCTACACCCTCACCTGCCTCTCCCCAGCCCCAGTGTGCCCGGCAGGGTGGCAGAGAAGAGCCCAAGGCAGGTTTGGACTGTCTGTTCTTTGGGAAAGTGGTGTGGACCCCCTTTGCCCCCCTGTGGAAGTTTACCCACTCCCTGCTAGCCTCATCTCAGCCAGCAGAGCCAGTTGTAGAAAAAACATCCCAGTTTAATCAAGAAAAAGCCGAGCCTGCCTCAGGATGGCTCCTCAGGAAGCGGTCCACAGCCCTGACCCTGCTTTTGAGGCACAGGAGGGCAGAGTTGAGGAGATGCCCAGCAGGCAAGACTGTGGAGCACCCAACACAGGTTCCACTTGGCCATCAGACACCATGAAGAGGGGGCTGTGGATTCCAGCAGGAGTTAGAAGAGGCCGGGATGAAAAGGGGGACTGCCCCTTCCTCCCGCAGCTTCGGAGAGGCCAGGCAGCACAGGTGCTAGGGCAGGATTTGGGGTCCCAGGGCTTCTGCTCGCCAGCAGAACGTCTCTGGGGTCAGCCCATGGAGGCAGGAGGTCTCCTAGAAGGCCAGCTTCTTCATCAGCAGGTAAACTCGAGAGTCCACTTCAAACCCATGCAGGTTGTTTGCGTCTCCCTGCAGTCGCATAAGCAGCCCCCCATAGGACACGTAGGCAGAGCTGGGACAGGAGGAGAGGAGTGGTGAGAGCGGGGAATCCCACAGGAGACCCGGGCTGAGATCCCAGTGCCTCCCCCACACCACCCCAGAATACCACATCCCCCCCGTACTGCTGACAGGCACTCACAGGCGCGTGGCTGCCTCTGTGGAGGTCTCATCCCCTTCAATCCTGTACACCTTGCCGTACATCACATACTCGAACTGGTCTGCCCTGCAACAGGATGACGGGAGTTCAGAGAAGGGTCAAAGCCAGGTGTTCCCCCAGCTGAGTGTCCTTTGGGAGAAGGTACCTCACAGCTCCTCAGCACTTCATCTTTTCCCTCATCCACCCCCACGTAGGTCCCGGCTGGACCCCTGTACCTGGACGGCCTGTCGTCCGTGGGGTTATACTCGCCGTCATCCAGGGTGCCATCTTCATACAAGGTGCTGGCGATGACCAGGCGGAATTTGTCCCCTGGGAGGAGAGAGCAGAGGAGTGGTGAGATGGTGGTGGCATAGCCAGAGCAGCAGCGGTCACAGCAGATCTCAGGGTGGTGGCAAGGAGCCCCCCTGAGGGGTTTTAGCACAAACCCTGTCCCTGCCTTCAGTCCTCCAATGGGACTTGCTGGGGGGGGGGAAAATCACACTGGATACTCTGTCTCCCTGTCCTCCACAGACAGTGGTCACCACCACAGAGAACACCAGCGCCACCAGGACACTGCTGCTGTTTACATAAGACACAGCAAGAAACTCACAGAGAAAGTCCCAGAGAGCTTGTCTGAGCCCTAAGCAGGTACACAAGACCCTGCAGCACCAGTTCTAGCCCTTCTGTGCTTCACTGAGGGTAAGACTCTCTTTTCCACCCATCTAGTATATTTAGCCACAAAAGCTCATTTCAAAAGGTGTTCCTTAAAGCTTGGTTACCTCCAGCTGAGGCAGTTTCACTAAACAGCACCTCTGGGGAACTGGCTGGAGATGAGCCCAAACAAATACAGTGAGGTGAACCAGAATCCAGATCAGTCCCAGCACACTTGAGAGTGCCCAGTACCTCCTGGGATCTGGGAACAGCACAGAGGCCCAAGGAAGTCTGAGACAGCTCACTCCTTGTTCACAGCAAACTCAGTCTCCCTCCTCTAACCTCACTCCATCCTGGCACACTCTGGACTAGCAGCCCAATAGCTTACCAAGGTCCACAGGGTAGATCTGGATGTTCACGTCCAAAATGAGGTCCATCTTGAAGGATTCACTTTCACAGTGCAGGCGAGACACTGGGGAGAGCAGCAGAGTTGGGGACAAGGACAGAAAAGACCCCCAGGGGCTGAGTGGGAGCAGGGTGCCAGGGCCAGGCCATTCCTGCTCCCACTCTACCCCGTGCTGGCACCTGAGCTGTTCAGGGCAAAAGGTGCACAGGGTTTGGGGAAGGATGCCAGAGTCTGGGAGCTGACTGGGATGTGCACAGGCAGGGTGAGGAACACGGTGTGGTGGGCAATGGAGCGCACCAGGGGCCCGGGGCTGTGGAGCACAGGCGGCGGGCTGGGGAAGCAGGGCGCCCCGGGGCATGGCAGCACACGGCGGGGGTCAGTGCCAGGGTGCAGGGGCCACCGCCGGAGGGAAGAGCAGAG